TGAAAATAAAAAATAATATAAACATAAAAATGTAAAAATAATATACGACAAAGGGAAAAGAAAAGAAATACGACTTTGAGAGTGGAGTCTAATAGAAAGTAAATTTGTATAAATAATTTATAATCATTTTATGTAATTCACAGAAGTTCTGACCTCTTTGGTAATTTAAAATTAATTTGAATTTAACTGCAATTCCTTTTATAGGTTTGGTTCCAGAATCGTAGAGCCAAGTTTCGAAAGCAGGAAAGACACGCTGTTTATATTATGAAAGATAAATGCAGCAAGATAGAAGGACGACACGATACGGTATCTGGGACCCAATGTTATGACCTATCTATTCCCGAAACGCAAAATTTATGCCAAAAAAAATGTTTTTATGATCAAATATAGAACATAAAGTTTATACAAAATATAACAAAAACTTGTGTGAATTTATATCTAGAGGGATAAAAATCAAATAAAAAATTATAATATGCACCACATCTCTAAATGTAGAATTATCACAACAATATAGACAGTGAGAGCTCTACTTTGACAATAGAGATAAAATATCACTCTTAGTTCCGAGTTCTTAAAAACAATAGCTTTTGCAACAGTAAAAACAACAAATTTTTATTTTAAACTAAAATTTTCAGGTAATCTATTAGGAAATACACCAGAAAACTTAGTGTTAATATCCGAAAGTCTGTGCCGGCTATACACGATCCCGATGTTATGATGGTAGTCAAATTCTGAGAATAACCCTCGAATGTAACCACACACTTGTGCGAGTCCAAATCGTCGTCATCGTCATAGATGGCCGCAAAGGTCGTTGCATTGTAATACCCATCCTCATTCTGCTGAGGATCATTGGCCACCACCTTGACAATATCATCGTCTTCCGAGCTAAGAGAGTTTGATATACGATTAGAATTACATTTAAGACTTATAATCTCTATCACTCTGTCACTTACGTAATAGTTATTGTGGGTCTCGGGAAGACATTGGTCACCGTGCACTCCAATTGAGTTTCATTTTGGATCTTGTAGCGATACATGTTGAGGGTATAGTTTCGCACGTCTATCACCTGAACGCTCTTGTGGTTGGTAATCGTCTCCGATCGCGTTTGGACTACACACTTGTAGTCTCCGGTAGAGCTGATCGAGGGATTTATTAGAGCCAGTGCACTATATTGCTTATTGGGATCAGTTGAGCTCTCATACGAGCTATCCACATCATTTTTAAATTCAGGCTAAAGTCGAATATATAGAATATATATATTTATATTAATATTAAGTATTAACGAGTTTTGGATACTTTGAGTACTTACAATGGGTGCTGGGTGAGATCCACGTATCCATTGGTAAATGGTTTTGTCATTCCTGAACCACTTTACAGTCAGAAACGATGCTGTATCATTCACATTATAATCACATTCCAATATAGTTGGCTCCATATCATCGTTCTCGAGAACCAGAAACTTTGTTTCTGAATCGATTTTGACAGGCAGACATAGTATACCTGGAATGAGAGAGAGTTGGAGATAGAGGTTAGATCGTGAGGGAAGAGTTTGAGGAGATTTCGGATGAGTTTAGTGGGGGTCTTCTGCATGGGGTCTTCCGAGAGAGATGGAGATATAGGCAGCGAATTTATTTCAAAATTCCATCATTTCAAGAATTATTCCTTTTTTTTCTTTGATTTATTTGTTGTTGCCCATAAATCAGCTTAACTTTTGTTAAATTACCATCATCTGTGACATTTAAAAATCTTTAAATATATACATATAAACATTTATATTTTTGGCAAATATTTAATTGAACTTGTCGAAATTTATGCACGTTTGTCTTACGTGAAATTCCAAAAATAATACACGTTGATAGATTTAATATATAGATTCCAAACATTTGACCATGATTTTTGTAGAAACTTTTATGTTTGCCAATTACACAGGCCAACAAAATTCAGTTAATAAGAATATGTTATTATTTTAGGAAAGAGTCTTTGACAATTATTTTGTTGGCCTGTGTTATTTTGTTGGCCTGTGTTATTGACAACATTTGTATATAATATATAACATAATATATGAGCAACATTTTGCCCATGTGGACTATGACAAGTCATAAAAATCTTTAGACAAACGAATTGTATATTTAATAAATATTCGTTATTTAATTTT